GACGCGTTTCAGAAAGGCGGGGCATAGAGGAGAAACAATAATGTACAGTATGTGGAAAATAATGTGTTTTTTTTTACTTTAAACCGCCTAAACACATTTCATTACACCAAATACACAAAATAATGTTCTTTTTAGCAACATCATATGACCCCTTTAAAGTCATGAACAAACATTCTTAGAACATTCATGGAACAGTTTTTAAACATATCAGTTGGACGCCCATCTAATGTTTTTTAAATGTTTAAACTTGTTTCAGGACATATAGAAAACATTCAAAAGTAACTGCCATAATGATACAATCAATAAATGATCAAATTGTACGCTCCCTTAATGTTCATGTTTTAATGTTTTTAAAACATTTTGAAGCCTTGCACATTCAGAGAACATTCAGAAATCACGTTTTCATTATATAATAGGAATTTTAGGAAAAAAAACTTATAATAAAATTTTTTTTGCCCAATTAAAGGGGTCATGACATGGATATTTTAAAAACAAATAAATATGCGGGAAAATTATTATTTTCAACCCTCATTCTGACTATCTCTCTAAAATGACCTGTTTTTAAGGGGTGGGTCCTTTAAAGGGGTCATATGATGCTATTTTAAAGATCATTATTTTGTGTATTTGGTGTAACAGAATATGTTGACATGCTTTAATGTTCAAAAAACACATTATTTTTCAAATACTGTACATTATTGTAGGTCCTCTATGCCCCGCCTCTCTCAAACACTTCGTTTTCAACAAAGCCCCCTCTTTTGACAAGCGCAGTCTGCTCTGATTGGCCAGCTGACCCAGTGGATTGTGATTGGCCGAACACCACAAGCACGCGTGGGAAATGTAACGCCCCTTACCATAATCGCGAGCTTCATCTTTCAAAGTAAATATCAAGACAGTTAATAATGTCGTTAGTTTTACCATTAGTTCAAGCCCGAAAGGGCAACAGAGTCGTGTGACAGACACAGTGATGATGCAGTACACAAGCCGCGGTTAAGACAGCTGACGTGCTATGATTTCTGACAGACAGTTCACACTCCTGTGATGTGACCCTGTTCCCCTCACACACACACACACACGACGCGTTACTCTGCGCTGCGCAAAACTCCGCATTTGAACAGTTAATAGCAAATACTTAAACTAATAACAGAACATACTTACAGTTGCTGATTCAGAAGTGCCAGATTGTCATAGCAAAGTAAGTATTAACCCTTTTTTTAGTTTTTTTTTTAGAAATAGCCTTTATGGTCGGCCGACATGTTGCGCCTTTGTGCTTCGGGCGTCCCGAGTTCGAGTAGATATGTGGGGGTGTGTTAGAACGAGCCGTTTTAGGTAGGTGTGGCTGACTCTTAACTTTTATAAAGAATATCTCTTTGGATTTGAGACTTTAGTCTTTGCAACTTTACAGATCTTCTTTATGCACCAAGAGCTTGTAACACTCCAAAGAGAAAGGAACAATTGAAATCGCATCATATGACCCCTTTAAGGCTTGTCAGTAATCAGTAGGGCTGTCCTCGACTAAGGATTTTTCTGGTCAACTAGAAGTTGTTCATTTTAAGCATTAGTCGACTAATCGCACGTTTGTTAATAAATCATTTAAATCATAATAATGAGCCTTTAATTGCCTACATAGCCTAATAAGCGCTCAAGCACACGCATAAAGCTTGCCACGGCACACTGGTAGAAGTAATGATTATGAATGTGTCAGGGAAAAACAGTAAGGAAACTGCATTAATATTTTAATAATTAATTGATAAACTAGTGCTTTCTTTGTTCTCGGTTTAAGAGATGAAGTCGGCGACACTGACTCGTCATCTCCGCAGTAGTGATGCGCCTGTATGCATGTTTCATACGGATTACATAATCGGAGAATATTTGTTTTCCATTTGAATTGGTTCATTTGAAAGTAGACACTTCACTCTCTATATGTTTGTATATTTTTAATGTCTGTAAGGCAAAGATATAAACGGAGTTTCACGCACAAGTTCACAGAGACCGAGACGGCAGAAAGCGCATCATGTTTGCTTTCATTATTTTACAAAAGCACGATTTGTTTTTATTGTGAGTGCACACAAATAAACGTAGAGTCTTTACAGATTTGAAAGATGTATTACTCTTATCTGTATGACCAAAAATTACGGAGTATTTTAAGAGTAAGTGAGCGCACCGGCGCCTCCATCTGTCCTGCAGGAGCCCAAGCGCGCTAATGTTCAGCTCCACGCTCTGCACAAACACGTGAACTGCGCACTTTTTTCTAGGCTAACATTAGATTGAGCTGCAGATTCGAAAGATGTATTACTCTTATCTGAATGAGCAAAAATGAGTATTTTAAGAGCGAGTGAACACCTCCATCTGTGGTGCAGTGAGCTACTGTTCAGCTTCCACACAGACACTTCAATAGTGCACATTTCTCTAGGTTAACATCAGATTGAGCGGCCATGTAAAGTTGCTAATACTTACATATTTCAGATGATAAGCCATATTTGAGGTGGATGTACTGTATTACCACATAGACCAGCCATTAACGATCTGTCCATCACGGACTACGTGACTTCGCCTGTGGATTTTTTTTTCTGCAACTAAGCGACTAATAAAATTTTGGTCGACCAAGCCTCCTCTGGTCGACTAACGATTAGTCGACTATTAGGGGGCAGCCCTAGTAATCAGCCATTGCTATGATTGGCTAACGTCATTGCATAGGAAACAGTATCAACGCCCCCTTGCTATTGCATGTGAGTGTTTTGAAAACAAAATCAAAATAAAGCAGTCATTTCCAGACAAAGCATTATGAAATCATGTACTTACAGTTTGTGAAGCAGCTGCAGTCAGATCTAGTGCCGCTTCATCTTTCAACAGATGTTTCTTTGTGATTCTCCATGACACTGTGCCTCGATTACAAAACAAAATCCTCAGACACGATCCGGGATGCCATTAAAAATAAACTATCCTCTTGTTCCTTATGCTGGGCTCCTTCTGATATCTGTGCAAAGACGTGAACGAGCTGTTTAAACCAAACGCGTCAAAGCAAATGTTCTTTCACTGCATTTGTCCTGACGACAGACTATATATACTGTATACTGTATCCAGTGTAGATAAGAAAAAAAAAGATGGCGCCGGTGGGGTTGGCTGCTGTCACGACTGCTCCGACCACTGTTTGCTTCTTTGCATTTTTTGCATTTCAGTTATTTTAACTAAAGTTTTTTAACAAGTTATTTTAATCTTTTTATTTTTCATCGTGGTTATTATTACCTATGACAAACATACTCTTGTCTCTATTGGTCTACAACTTACTCATTCTCCATCGTTTTTAACACCGGACCCAAATTGGCCAAGCGAGATTCTAAGGGAGAACAAAGGACTAGATCTGAAACGGCGGCCCCATGGGAAACGAGCTGGCGTTAGGAACAGGTTGAGGTCTCGCGCTCACCGCGCTCCCCTGCCTAGCATTCTGCTGGCCAACGTGCAGTCATTGGAGAACAAGCTAGACGATCTTAGGGCCAGGATTAAGTTCCAGAGGGACATTAGAGACTGCAACTTCCTCTGCTTCATTGAGACATGGCTGAATCCAGCGATACTGGATCATGTGATCCAGCCGGCCTAGTTCTTTTCGGTTTTTCACATGGACAGAACAATGGAGTCAGAGAAGTCAAAGGGAGGTGGTGTGTGTTTGATGGTAAACAACAGCTGGTGCGATAGCGGGAGCGCTATCTTTCTCAAGCGTTTTTGACCATCAAATGTCGCCCTTTCTACCTTCCTAGGGAATTTACCTCAATCATCGTCAGTGCAGTTTATATTCCACCTCAGGCGGATACGGGCACTGCTGTATGGGAATTACACGAAGCTCTCACTGATTATCAGACCTATCACCAGGATGCCGCACTTATTGTACTGGGGGATTTTAACAGTGCTAACCTCAAACGCGCAGAGCCAAATTTCCATCAACATATTACCTGTCCTACGCGAGGTAATACAATTTTGGATCACTGTTACACTGCATTAAAAGGAAGCTACAAGGCACAGTCTCTACCACCGTTTGGGAAATCGAATCATGTTTCCATTTTTCTCATGCCACAATATAAACAGAGACTGAAACAAGTCACTCCAGTTCAAAGGGAGGTCGCGTGCTGGTCAGACCAATCAATAGCCACTTTGCAAGACGCTCTAGATGATGTAGACTGGGACATGTTTCGGCGCAGCTCTGACAACATCAACATGTTTACAGAAGCTGTTGTGGGACTCATCAGGAAACTGGTGGATGATACAGTCCAAAAAATTACCATCAAGACATTTCCCAATCAGAAGCCGTGGGTGGATAAAACCATCCGTGATGCCCTGTCATCCCACACTGCTGCCTACAAAGCGGGGCTTGCTACCGGGAACATGGATGAGTACAAGATTGTGTCTTACAATGCGCGCTGAGTGGTGAAGGAGGCAAAGCGGCGCTAGGGTAAGAAAGACGAATCACAGTTTCTTCAAGGTGACTCTAGAAGTTTGTGGTTAGGGCTGAGAACGATAACGGACTATAAAACACCAGCCCACGTGATCATGAAGACTGGCGCTTCTCTTGCAGATGAGCTAAATACTTTTTATGCTCGTTTTGAGGCTGCATCTCACTGCGCTAACGGTGCTGTTGGCGCAAATAAGAACCAAGACTGCATACAGGCGGAGAGCACAAATGCAGGAAAAGCGTTCGTCATTACAGAGGGTGAAGTGAGAAGGGTTTTCCAGAGAGTGAACATAAGGAAGGCAGCAGGACTAGATGGAATCTCAGGTCGGGTTCTTCGAGCTTATGCAGACCAGCTAGCACCAGTGTTCACTGAGATATTCAATCTCTCCCTGGATCAGTCGGAAATCCCCACATGCTTCAAACAGTCCATCATTGTTCCTATCCCTAAGAAATCCCAACCCTCCTGTCTTAATGACTATCACCCTGTAGCATTGACCTCAATTGTGATGAAGTGTTTTGAAAGACTTGTTAGAAATTTCATGACCTCCATGCTACCTGACACCCTAGATTCCTTACAGTTTGCCTATCGTCCAAACCACTGAACTGATGATGCCATTACACATCTCCTCCACACAGCCCTAGATCATCTGGACAAGAGGAGGGGGAATTATGTTAAAATGCTGTTTGTTGATTACAGTTCAGCTTTTAACACTATTATTCCCTCAAAACTAACATTAAAGATGGAGAACCTAGGATTTAGCCCAACCCTGCGTCAGTGGATCTACAACTTTCTATCTGACAGGCCACAAGCAGTAAGGGTGGGCAGACAGATCTCATCCTCACTCACCCTCAGCACAGGAGCACCCCAGGGGTGTGTTCTAAGCCCTTTGTTGTACTCGCTGTACACATATGACTGTGTTGCCACTTCAGATTCCACTACCATCGTCAAGTTTGCTGACGATACTGTTGTGGTAGGCTTGATCTCTGATAATGATGAGAGAGCTTATCTGCAGGAGATTAAAAGACTGGAGGACTGGTGTCAGGAGAACAACCTCCTTCTGAATGTCAGCAAGACAAAGGAGCTGATAGTGGACTTCAGCACAAAACAGGTGAGGAGCTACCAACCCACTATGATCAATGGGGCTTTTGTGGAGAGAGTAGATAGCTTTTGTTACCTTGGAGTCCACATCTCACATAACCTGTCATGGACAAATCATATCACCACCTTGGTGAAGAAAGCCCGTCAGCATCTTTGCCACCTTAGGCACTTAAAAGACTTTAAATTGTCCACCAAAGTGCTAAAAATTTCCTATACCTGCACTATTGAGAATATCCTGACAGGAAACATCACAGCCTGGTTCAGGAACAGCACAAAGCAGGACAGATGGGCCCTACAGAGGGTGGTGCGATCAGCTGAGCGCATTATTCGCATTGAACTCCCTGACCTGGAATCCATCTACAGCAAACGATGCTGTACCAAAGCCAGGAAGATCATGAAGGACCTCAGCCATCCTAACAATGGTCTCTTTTCTCTGTTGACGTTAGGGAAACGCTTTCAGTCGTCCGCGAGGGGCTGTCGCGCTATTTTGTGTTTGTTTATTTTATTAAAGTTTTGTTTAAATGTTCGCCGGTTCCCGCCTCCTTCTTCCCGTGACAACGAACGTTGTTACATACTCGCTGTACACATATGACTGTGTTGCCACTTCAGACTCCCCTACCATCGTCAAGTTTGCTGACGATACTGTTGTGGTAGGCTTGACCTCAGCCATCCTAACAATGGTCTCTTTTCTCTGTTGAGGTCAGGGAAACGTTTTTGCTCCATGATGACTAAAACTGAGAGAATGAGGAAAAGCTTCTTTGCACAGGCTATCCGTGTCCTGAACCAGGACAATGCTAACAAGTTTTAGTTGCACTATGCAACACCATATTAACATTATACTTCTTTTATTATTACAGATTGCACACGCATAATTGCTCTTTACTGCACATACACATACTGCCAGACTGTTGCTGCTACCATCTCTGTACCCAAAGATGTATTAATTCACATCTTTTTTGTACATATAGTCTAAGCATTTTTACTTGGTTAAATAATTTTTATTGCTGTAAATTTTAGTAATCTGTATATTCTTCTTATTTATATTCTTTATTGTTGTAATTTCTTAGTTTAATTTATCTTTATAGTAATTTGTAATTCTATTCACTATTCAACTATTTCTTAGGACACAGTTTTTCTTTCTCTTTTTATTACTACTTTTATAATATTTCTATTTTAATATATAGTCTATTGCATTGTATTCTGTGTGGAGAGTCGTACCAAGCATTTCACTACATGTCGTACTGTGTATGATTGTGTATGTGACTAATAAAATTGAACTTGAATTGAACTTGAACTTGAACTTGATTGTCATTTCTATTTGCTTTTGACGTGATCAAGTGTTAGCCGTTAGCAAGTGAACGCCAGTTGGCGGAGCGTATGCTGAGAGGAAGACTATTCGTCGATGTCTTGCTCTGGAGGCGTGTTTATGCAAATGTTTGTGCCCCTGTGACATCATCTTGCACCTCAGATCCAAAACAAGCCATTTTCTGAGGGTTATTACATAAACGCTTTTTTACTGATGATGAGGACATTTTAAATTATGAAACTTGCAGGATGTTTTAAGCATACAAAGACCTCCTTTGTGTCAAAAGATAAAGGCAAATTTGGTTTATCATGTCATGACCCCTTTAAGAAGAAGAGCCAGCCATGAATCAGTCTAGTTGTTTGTTTTAAAGAAACAGTATCCTGATGTTCCTCCTACCAAAGATATTGGGTTTTTGTTCATCCAAAAGCATCATGTTTTTTGGTTAGATGTGTTTTCTAGAACATTCCACTGCAATGTGAATGAGCTGCAGGCCGATGATTTTGTTCCGTTGGGCTGATGGTGTCTGTTCCCGCAGGTACGTTCTGGACAATCAGTACACCAGCTCCATGGGCTCCAGGTTCCCCGTCAAATGGTCTCCACCTGAAGTTCTTCACTTCAACAAGTTCAGCAACAAGTCAGACGTCTGGTCATTTGGTGAGGACCGGAGGTCAGAGGTCAGGGCTCATGTGTGTGTGTTATGGGTGTGTGCTGATGCATGTGTGTTTGTGTGAACAGGCGTGCTGATGTGGGAGGTTTTCTCGGAGGGAAAGACACCGTTTGAGAACTGCTCCAATCTGGAGGTGGTGGAGAAGGTGACGCAGGGCGGCCGTCTCTACAGGCCACACCGGGCATCTGCGCACATCTACAACATCATGTACCGCTGCTGGCATGAGGTGAGACACACACAGTTCACAATCCATACACCACACATCTACACAGATTACCCATGATTTACAGCCTATGATAGATTATGAAAGTCACTTAAATGTAAATGTAATCCACCATCTGGGCTGGATATGGACTGGATCCGGGTGACTGCAGTGGCCATCTGATCTGGATACAGACTGGATCTGGTGGCTACGGTGACCTCGGAATAAGAAAGAAACAGACTAATATTAGCGTAGATGGCATTCTTCTAATGATGATATCTCCCAAGGGTAACATGTAAAGCGTGAAAGTAATGGCCCTAGTACTGAGCCTTGAGGTACTCCATACTGCACTTGTGATCGATATGATACCTCTTCATTCACTGCTACGAATTGATGACGTTCAGATAGGTATGAACTGAACCATGCCAATGCACTTCCAGTAATGCCAACATAACCTTCTAGTCTATTCAAAAGAATGTTGTGGTCGATAGTGTCGAACGTAGCGCTAAGATCCAGTAGCACTAATAGAGAGATACAACCACGATCAGATGATAAGAGCAGGTCATTTGTAGCTCTAATGAGAGCAGTCTCAGTACTATGATACGGTCTAAATCCTGACTGGAAATCCTCACAGATACCATTTTGCTCTAATAATGAACATAATTGTGAGGATACTACCTTTTCTAGTATCTTTGACAGAAAAGGGAGATTCGAGATTGGTCTGTAATTAACTAATTATTTTGAGTCAAGTTGTGTTTTGTTAATTAGAGGCTTAATTACAGTTTGAAGGTTTTTAGGGCATATCCTAATGACAATGACAAAATTTTTAATAGTCAGAAGAGGATCTATGACTTCTGGAAGCACCTATTTTAGTAGCTTAGATAGAATAGGGTCTAACATACATATTGTTGATTTAGATGATTTAACAAGTTTATACAATTCTTCTATATACAAATCTATTCTTCTTCTATAGTAAAGAAAGAGTGGAATTGTTCCTCAGGGGATCTATAGCACACTATCTGATGCGATACTATAGCTGACGGCTGCATGGTTACAATTTTATCTTTAATAGTATCGATCTTGGAAGTAAAGTAGTTCATAAAGTCATTACTGCTATGCTGTTGGGGAATGTCAACACCTGCTGATGCTTTTATTTTTTATTTTAGCCACTGAATTGAATAAATACCTGGGTTTGTGTTTGTTTTCTTCTAAAAGAGACGAAAAGTAAGCAGATCTAGCAGTTTTTAAGGCTTTTCTGTAGGAGAAGGTACCTTCCCACCATGCAATACGAAATACCTCGTATTACTCATTGTGCAGCTCGCGAGCCTCATGCGGCTCGCCAAGCTTTACTTTGTTGCTCGCATGGCAGTAAATAATACGATGACATGATCATGCAGTCAATACAGATATTTCATAAAAATGTTAAAAACAAGCAGGGCTATAACATAACCCATTAAAAAAACTCACACCATGTCTACACCGGACGCGAGTGTCCGACAAAAGACAATAGAACCCAGTGATCCCCATCAGTAAACTGATGCCTCGTTCTGTTTATTACGAAATGTACTGACACTACGTTCAGATGATTTGCAACTGTCACTTTTATCGCGTCAAGTGTAGAGAGACTTTTAGCGCAACGGAGCGCGGCACGAGTAGTGCTACTCGCGTCCGGAGTAGACACGGTCAGACAGTGTCTGCTCTATTACAACAAATTTATATATTTTAAAAAATACCTAAAACAGCGGCATTACAAGATGGAAACATAGACTAGAAAATATATTTACACTTGCTCTGTCCTACGTCCATGACACTGACTCACTGCGGAGTTGCCAGTTTTAATCCTAACAGCTCTTAACGCCGAATGTGCACTTGGATGGTTAGCCTACATGATGGGCTAGTATAAAAAATTAAATAAAATAAGGTCTTTCCAGCATTAAGGTAATCCTGCTTTTTTTAAAAAAAATTTTATAATCTTGTCTCCGTTACAAATTTGACTGGTAAATGATAAAGAATGATAACCCCTTTTGTATTGCATTGCATTGCATATCAGGGATGACAGATTGATAAAAAGACATGCTATTTATGACTGGATGTAACTTTTGATACTTCACGGTAAAAGTGGCTCTCCGATTGACTTTGCCCTATCGTTGCAGCTCCCATGAAGAAAATAGCGAAGACCACTGTCGTATTGCATACTCAGATTACATCCAGTTGGAGAAGATCAAACATGTTTGGGGTTTCATTTAGTGTACAATGCCCAGTTTTTCTCTGCAACCATTTACAAAAGTAAATGCATGATGCCTAGTGTCCATCACTGATGTCATCACAGCACTCAGAATTATTACGTGTGTGTTTCTTGTTTTCAGAGACCTCACGGACGACCGCCTTTTTCTGAGCTACTGCAGAACATCAGACAGATCACTGAAGAGGAGACAGACACATGAACACACACACACACACACGAGCTCAGAGAACGGGAGGACTGTTGAGGATGTCTGTTGATCTTCAGCATGAGTTGATGTGTGTGTGTGTTTGATGAACTGACATCTTACAGTCATAAGTGAGATGTTTTATATATGTACACTGTAAACATGCAACTTCATGTCAGTCTGTAAGCACCTGAGGACATGAATAAAGATGCTCACCATGGGAGGCGCTGTCACTGTGTG